AGTAAGCCTCTAAGCATATGAGTAGTTGTTGAGGGAGGTGATCAAGTGTGGGTGGAGGTGATCCAGTATGGCAAAGATAAATTACTTAACAAAGGCACCTAGCAGGCTGAACTGCTAGTGTCACCCTCATGGCTCCTTGCATGTTTTCAACTGAACACAGAATGTAGCTCAGATGCACAGCCCCAGAACACATCCAGCCAAGAAAAAGAGAGAGACAGAGAGAGAGACAGAGAGAGAGAGAGAGAGAAAGAAAGAAGGAAGAAGGAGGAGGGAGGGAGGGAAGAAGGGAAGGAATTAAAGAAGGAAGAAGGGGAAAGGGAAGAGAAGGAAGGGAAGGAAGGAAGGAAGGGAGGGAGGGAGGGAGGGAGGGGAGGGAGGGAGGGAGGGGCAGCTTTCACACATCTTCTAATGTCGGAGGTCAACGCTGACATGAGCAAATAATGGAACCAACCCAGCAGAGGGTGCCCCCAAGCTGGTCGCTGGTGGATGGTATGTCCAGCTCCAGGTTGAACTGGTTTGATTAGGCAAGCTTCCCCGGTGCTTCCCGTGTATGCCAGGGGCTGTGACGTGGTGAGGTGTCCAGGGGCACCAGGGCCCTCGAGAATCACACTTTCTGCCAGCACTTACTTTACACAGGATGAGCCGGACCCGGCTTGGAACAGCCCTGCTGTGGACGCAGCCGGCCCCAGGCCCGGGGGGGGGGGGGGGGGGGTATGAGTCCTGGCCCCAGCCCTGGCAGACACACTCCTGACCTTGGGAAACCTGGGGGGGGGGGGGGGAGTGGGGGGTCTGTGAGGTTCAGCCATGCTGGCGTTTCCCTCCAAGTTCCTTCTCTAACTCCAAGGACCAGGCGACGATAAAAGACAGAACCTGGGTCCGGCCCACCCTGTCTCCAGGATGAGCAGCACACCCACAGCTGGCGGATACCAACCTTCCTCCCGGCGTCTTCCCAAAGCGTTCCATCTTCTTTCTCCTATTATGAAGAAAAACGTACCATCACCAACTCCCTACACGACCGCGGCGAGGAAAGCCTTAACCTCGTTTCCTCGCGCCTCCGTGGTCAGGCCGACTTTTTTTTTTTTTTTTAATTTAATTTAATTTTATTTGTGAACATACTGTACAGAGGAGTTACAGTTACTTGGGCAGGATAATGCGTACATTTCTTACCAAGCATTGCAGCCTCCTCCTTTGTTTACCCTTCACATCCCTTCCCAGCCTCCCCCCTCTCCCCCTAATCCCAATCCTTCTCCTTCCCCCCCTTCCCCCCCTTCCCCCCTCTCCCCCCCCCACCCCCGCACTAACGTTGTAAAGCTCGTTTTGGACATGACAACTTGTACTTCTCATTGTTGTAACAGGTCCACCTGTATCCTTAAACAACTGGTTTTTCCCCATCTCCTCCACAAGTTATACTGACATCAAATATAGTGAAAGCAGGGGTTATACTGTGGGGGAGGGACATACAAAGCAACAAAGAGATAATCTTATAAATGTGTTAGAAACACATGCATGAAAGAAAAAAACATTTTTTTCATCATAAACGCCAGAGCTAAAGCCCTGTGCCCTGCAGCCTTGCGGCTCTGGCACCGGAACCACACTTCCCATTCATCATGCAGCTTGCTGAATATTTGTACACGCGAGACGGCACAGGACGCTCTCCACTGCACTTTGCTCGCACACACACTGGAAGCTGGCGCTTCCACCTCGCGGTCCACCTCTCGGCCTCCTCCATGGCTGGCTTGTCGAGCCTGCACTGGGAGAAGCACAGGCTAGCCACACCCCTGCACGGGGCATAGGGCGCGGAGCTCCACTCTGTCCTTGAGATTTCCATGTTCCTAGGCTATTCCCAAAGCTCAAGAGGATGACGGAAGAAAGGTGTACACACTTTTAGGCTGAATAAACACCCGGAAATTCTCTAACTCATATGTCAACAGTGCATCTATGTCTACATGCAAACAGACCAGTCCTCACTCTGTGCAAGGCTAAATCCTTGATCTAGACATATGAGACGCCAGACACTGTCCATCTCATTTAAAAGGGAGAGGTTCTTCTCGTGTCATTTGCGTCTTTCATTAGAACTGATGTGAGTGGGCTTGAATTTAGACATCTGTATTCTTCTCAACGACTTCTCGTTGGTCTTGTTTGTATTGAGCTGTCGTAGTCTTGATTTATGAGGTCTTTGTACATTTTTATTTGTGTCCCCAATATTTTCTTCTTTGTTTTTATTTCACTTTTCCAAGGAGAAAGTCTTCATTTTCATCTAGAGAACTGCTTTAGCTTTGGGGTGATTGTTCCTGAGCGTTCAGGGGTCCTCGGAGGTTTACTGAACCCCATTTCAGGACTTCTCCTTCTGTCGGCGTGCCACCCCCAGACGTGTGGACCAGAGCAGCGCCAGGCTCCCCCAACCACACAAGGTCGGTGCTGCCACATGCCAGGGAACATGAAGGCGCAGGGCTGACCTGGAAGAGCATCATCAGCACTCCTCCATCGGAAGCCCGCGTCTACAGAGGCCGCGGCTCGGGGGCTCCGGCTGCTCTGGTAAGTGCCAGCATGGCTCCAGAACACCACTGCAGATCACCCATCCCCAGAGAGCACTCAGATTGCTTGGGGAGGATGGAGGCCTTCTTCTCTAGAGGACATGCCACAGCAGGCACAGTGCCAACTGAGGCCGGAGAGTGGCCGGAGAAAACAGTCACCCAACTTCATCATCCAGTTCTCTCTCTCTCTCCTCCCTCTCTCCTCTCTCTCTTTCTCTCTCTCTCTCTCCCCCCCCCCTTTCCTTACTGAACATATGACACTTCCGTCTAGACTCCTCCAAGGTGTCCAAACCAGAGCTCCTTCAGGCGACCCTGGAGTGGCAATCGTGCTGGGCCTCACGATCAGTGCACACATTTCTTGCAGATTCCCTGCAGGGCTGGGCCACAGACCACACTGACGTGTTTCCAAGAGCAAAAATCCACACACCTCGGAGCCCTGAACACTCATCATCGCCGGGTGTCTAGCATACTCCTTTAGCTAAAGAACTGAATTCTTTTCAATACCTTCATATGTGTTTCCAAACTTAGTAGCTAGGTTCAGTTTTCAGGTCAGACATTAACAAACAATGTATCTGAACAAATCAAACAATAAACACTGGAGAACATTCTAGTCCACTCTGATTCAGACAGCACCCAGGACAATGTAGATTGAACTCAATGAACATAATTTGAGATAGGTAAAGGTACACTTTCCATCTTATTATTTCTCAGGCGAGCTTTCTAAATTAGTTAACTAATGCTAACAATGACGAAAACTGTCACTGAAGCATTGAATATTGTCAGTGCTGTCATGACCATATAATTAACAACTAAGTGTTCCAAAGATGAAGAGGAGGCACACAAAAAAGCACAGCTCTATTTTTAATTTTGATTTTATGTACATAATGACAAAATAAATGCCCTGGTCCACCACTGCTGGGGGGTGGGGGCTAGGCAGAGTGACCAGCCCCCTCCACCTGGACATTCTTAGCTTTAGAGATGAGATTCACCCTCAGGGCTGGAGGGGAAGAGCTTGGGGAATGCAGGCTTCACAGGTACCCACTCCATTTAGTGGGATCAAAGGTCCTTAAAAATAGTGATGATGGCCAGGCGCTGGTGGCTCACGCCTGTAATCCTAGCTACTCAGGAGGCTGAGATCTGAGGATCGCGGTTCAAAGCCAGCCCGGGCAGGAGAGACCGTGAGACTCCTATCTCCAATAAACCACCAGAAAACCGGAAGTGGCGCTGTAGCTCAAGTGGTAGAGTGCTCGCCTTGAGCTGAAGAGCTGAGGGACAGCGCCCAGGCCCAGAGTTCAAGCCCCACGACCGACAAAAAAAAAAATAGTGATGATGACTGTACAACATGAGAGGCAGTTAGTGCTGCCGAGCTACATTCTTAAAAATGGCTGAAATGGCACATTTTATGTCGTGGGTCTTTAAACAAAATCTTCCCCAAAACTGGCAAGGAATTCTGTGATCAACTCCAAGACATCTGTATTTTCAAACTAACACTCGCGATATGTTCTCTTACAAGGTGGTGAGCGCTTTACACTTGTTATATACTTAAGTTCCAAGGACTTGGTCATGGGTAACTTCATGGATGTTTTTAAGCTCAGTCTCAGGCTGCACGAGGAACACGTGACTGAAAACTCTGTCACAGCCCTCGGGGACTCCACAGGGACCCCGAGGGGCGGTCGGGCCAGCAGGGACACACCTAAGGAAACTGCACATAGTCTTATGGAGCAAATGCCACGAGCAACTACAGTTCACAGAGCACCAACACGGATCCCAAGGGCTGCTGGCGGGGGGCGGGGGGGGCAGTTGGTGTTACTTCTGCCTCTGGCCGGTCACCAGCTGTTCCAATGTATTTAATGCACTTGCTCAGTCAGAGCTGTCAAAACCACAGGCTAGATCTTAGGGCTGAATAAGGGAATATAGCAGGCAGGGAAATACATGCCCACATTTGGCTTGTGTCACACAAGGAGCAAAGGCTGAGGGGAGGGGGGGCTGAAAGCCCTCAACATCCGCACACTGGAACCAGCCCAGAGCACCTCGCTGTTAACACCGACCTGTCTGTGAGCAACTAGGATCCCATAGGAAACCAGCTCCCGCCCAGCGCCCATCACAGAGGGCCGCCCCCCTTCCCCTGCCCAGCCTGCCTGCTACAAACGTGCCCTGACACTTGCTGGGGAAGGGCTTTCACACAGACGACCAGAAACTCAGTGTCAGAGAATTAAGACACACACAGAAGCCACCAGAACCACCCACATGACTTCTGGCCGAGCAAGAAACGATCCCAGGCACAGCCCTCTTCCAGACCCTGTCCTGTGCACCCAAGGCTCATATTCCTTTGTGTTCCGGACCTGAGCTTGTTCCTGAATCCTTCACCATTGAACATGAGCTGTGCAAGGTGGGCAGGTTCCAGACCCAGGAGCTGTGCGAGGTGGGCAGGTTCTAGACCCAGGAGCTGTGCAAAGTGAACAGGTTCTAGACCCAGGAGCTGTACAAGGTGAACAGGTTCTAGACCCAGGAGCTGTGCGAGGTGAACAGGTTCTAGACCCAGGAGCTGTGCAAGGTGAACAGGTTCTAGACCCAGGAGCTTTGCAGAGGGGGGCAGTTTCTAGACCCAGGAGTGTGCGAGGTGGGCAGGTTCTAGACCCAGGAGCTGTGCAAGGTGAACAGGTTCTAGACCCAGGAGCTTTGCAGAGGGGGGCAGTTTCTAGACCCAGGAGTGTGCGAGGTGGGCAGGTTCTAGACCCAGGAGGTGCCTGAGACACGAGCCATGAAAATCAGAACAGGGTGTGCTTACCTTGATGGCCTCGGCATCCACGGTGTCGCTGTACACCTCGTCCTCCTCTTTAACTATTTCAGCTGGCACCTGGGGAGGAAACACATCACGCTTCCAGATCTGCTGGCGCCAGCTGGTACATGCCCCGAACCTGGGGCCCCAGGGAGCCGCTCCGGCCTCTCAGCTGGCAACCCAGAGCTGGCAAGGCACTGCCCACTGGACAGCTCTGCTGGAAGAGACACTATCAGCCCTTTCTGTGTCACTCCAGACACCTCTGGCAGTCGGTTCCTCCCTAATTCCTGGTGCACCTTTAGGGACCCCAAAGGCAGCCCCCTGCCCTTGGCCAGCCCCTAGCGGAGAAACTCCCACTCACCATGGCTAATACCTCCGGGGGCTCACGGCTCACCTGTGGGCAGAAGGCAATGAGCCGTCTAAATTAGTGCCCTGAAACCTCTCTCCACTCCCCGGGAGAACCGTGTGGTTCTCTGGACCAAGATGGGCACCGGGGCACTTTCATTATATCCCCGTGTCCACTGGCCCGGGCTGACAGGACAGCAGCAGCGTGTACACACGGCCAGGCCCTGGCAGGGCTTTCGGACAGCGTCCCCACTTAGGATACCCATGCGGAGGCCTGACCTCCCTGTGCCCCATCAGCAGGGCGAGGCCCTGGTGGAGACGCACGCTGGCTGTAAGGCATCTGCCCAGAACCACTCACCTAACCCCAGGGAAGGCAGACCACCAAGCTGGCTGGCCAGAGCAGAGTCCCACAGACCCAGCCGCTGTGGCCCCTGACCTGGAATGTGCTAGAACAGGCCCTGTGGCTTTGCAGATGTGTAGGTATGTGCCCAGTCCAGACAGTCCCACTGTCCCAGACCTCAGTTCCTCAAACTGCAGGACGCAGAACTGTCTTCTTCCTATCATTTCTACAGAAAGGGACCCTGTGCATGCCTGTGTGGCTCCTTTCACACTACAGAGAAACACACTTTATAAAAACACACCATTTCAAAACAGTTGATGAGACCGCAAACCACTGATTCACCAACAAATCGGTGGAGACCAGCTGCGACTGAGTCGTGAGTGCGAGCGCACACACGCGTGGCCTTGGGAGGCTCCGAGTCTCACGGGGACATTGTCACACCACTAATCATAAAACCACACCGTGCTTAATGCGCACGGGAGAGCAGCAGAGCCTTCCTCTAGTCAGTGACCCTTCACTGAAACTCCCGAGGAAGGAGGGTGCCGCCCTGTGGAATCATGGGAAAGCCGGGCTGGCAAGGGAACAGCACGTGTAATGCCGGGTACCTGGAGTGGTTGCAATGGTCAGAGTGTAGAGAGCAAGAAAGACAGCAGCGCCTGGGCACAAGATGGCACCTGGCAGGACAGGAGTGAGGGGCACAGGAGCAGAGGGGAGAGACGCTAGGCTCTGTAGCCTATGCCGGTGGCCTCATGAAGCTTTTCATGTCTCCTTTGTCTCTTGGTGGACAGAGGGGCTGTGCATGCCCGGAGACGGGCAAGGAGCACGGTCTGAGAACACTGTGAGGAAGACTCCATAGAGGCCTAGAGCACCCGAGCGGCAACACAGACCCACAGCAGGCTGAGCACAGCCCTGCACCACGGCAGCCGCAGCCGCGGCCGCCGCACACAAGCTCCGTTTAGCAAGGATGCAGAGATGTACAGCCCCTGGAGGGTCCTCACTGGACCCCAATATTTAACAGCCAGACAGAAGACCAGAAGCCTAGAAAGAAGGGGAAGGAGAGAGACAGGTGAAGGTCTGGAGGTGGAGTCAGGAGAACTTCACAGAGGAAGAAAATGCTTTGAGGAGCAGGCGAGCGAGAATGAGGGAAGGGTCCGCGTTCATTCCTTTGTCACAGGTCACAGGGTGGGTTGAGGTTGGATGATGCCAGTGTGGGGGGAGGGGAGAAGAGGAAGAGAAGGGGAAAGGGGGGTGATCGATTGTGTCTTGTGGCTCCTGAGAAGAGGATCTGATCTGGGGGACAGGAATCTCAAGCGTGGGCGGGACAGGCACTGTCTTCCTCCTAGAGAAGCGTGCATGGCTGCAAGAGACCCTGGCCGGCCAGCTGCCTGTGCCACAGCCATTCCCACCCCGACACTCAGCTGCCTCCCCGATGGAGACAAGGACTACCTTCAGATGTGTGGTGGATCCCCCGAGATCCCTCAGAGACACTGCTCACTGCTGAAAGCAAGCAACTCGAGCACCATCTCCACCCTCAGCATGACCTGTTCTGGTGCCGTGCAGAACTCAAGCAACCATCTTTAGACGCAGGAGGCAAAGCGCGAGGCTGAAGGTCAGTGTGCTGAAGGCAGGTGGGCCCTGGGACCGGACAGGTGGCCATTGGAGTGGGCGTTCCATACACAGGCAGACACTGGGACGGCTTCCTGCAGAACTTCCCACACTGGACTCCACCACATGCGTGATACATGCTCCAGTGCACGCACAATAAGTGCCCCTTGTTATTGCAGCCACTCGAGTTTTCTGTCCTGATAGCTAACACATCCTCACAGATACAGAAGCTAATTATACTTTTTAATTTATTCATGGAAACAAAAACCCCCAGGACCTCTGTTAACTTCGTGTGAGCTGGGAGTACAGAAGTCTTAAAGCTCCATTACGCTCTTTCTAATTAAGCAATTCACAGGTTACACAAGCCTAGATGGACCTGCTCCTAATTAGTCCAAATTATTTTGGTTTTACCTGAGCTAGCAATTCATTCTTGGTCCTTTCTCTGGATAGAAAAGAGTAGAGCCCTGGGGAGGTTCTGGGCACACAACTCCGCGTGTTCAGGCCGCATGGGGGCCGAAATAAACTCTCTTCTTTTGCCTCGGCTCTTTAGGACTCGACGTAACTGATTCCATGCAGCCTGGGCTCCGGTCCCAGCCCCAGCAGTCAGCTGAAATGAAGCTGCCATCCCACATCCCGGAGGCCACAGGGGCCGCAGCTCCAGCCGTGTGCTGGCCCCATGCTGCTCCCCCACCGCTCACCCTGCCGCACGGGGACATCGAAGCCAGCACCTCCACGCCCACCTTCCCAGTCTCCAGAACAGGGAGCTCCATCTCTGGAATGCTGTTACAGCACATAAAACAGACCAAGACAACCGTTGGAGGATTTGGTGAGGCCATGCATGCCACCTTGGTCACACTGGGTAGGTGAAGAGTGGGTGCTAAGCCAATCACCCCAAAGAGCAGTCAGAGGGGACCACTGGGCCTAAACGGGGCCTGCAGTTGTAGGCACCCATCTGCCTTTTTTTAAGTACTTATGGAAATAACAACAATCTTATCCCTGGTACAAGGCAATGCTTTGGAAAAACCTAATTTTTTAAGACAGTCCTTAAATCACAAAATTTCAATATCAATCATCTAGTTGTCATGTTTTGTACAGATTCTGGGAACATGTGTTCCTGGACTGAATATAAAAACTCAGGCTTCTAAAATAAATGCTAGTGTCAAAGTTCAGAGTGTCTGAGAATTAAACGTGCAAAGTCGGGCCCCGGTGTGATTGTCCGTGTAGCCTGCCCCGGCCCGTGGGTGAGCTCTGCAGATAGCCGCGATGCAGAGAGCAGGCAACGGGACGTCCCTGACACTCACTCCAAGGACAATGAATCTGAAAACAAGTTAACATACATTCAAATAAAAGCATCCCAGCAGAGAAGGGAGAAAGGAACATCAGAGGTAAGCGACAGGCCAGGGGGAAGAGACCACCAGACAGGTGTCCTCTGACAGCCATGGCCCAGCCAGGAGCTGCTGCTGTCCCTGAGGGCTGTTCCTGCCCTGCCGCCACACCCCACCGCCTCCGCCTCCCCCTGTGCACAGCGTTGGTTCAGAGCAGGACGTCCAGGACCTGCAGGGCCTCGCCACTCCGAGGTCGCTCCGTCATTAAGGCCCAGCTCCTCCAACAAGCACCTCGACTTGATCTGCCTGAAGGCAAACCTCTCCACGGAGCAGTGAACTCATCAGAGGGCCGGGGCCCCAGACCCACCAGCCTCCGTCTAAGCAGAGGAAGTGAGAGCGCACAGAGGCGTACCCACCCACGGCACCGCTGGGGGACGGAAAACGTCATCTGTATCGCCAAAGGCCTGTGTGGCTCCACAGATGAACTAAAAGGGAAACCATGGGACTTGGGGTCAAGAGCAACAGGAACATTTTAAGAATAAGAATGTGAACTGTCAGGAAGACTGATGAGCACTGTCATGGCTCCTCTCCCTGTCCACAGCCAGCGTAACTGTCTCCCTCTTTCCTGTCCTCTAAACATTTACGGGAGACTCTGGACTGACCTATGGGTACTGGAAGAAGGTTCTAGATACTTGGACAGGCAACAGTTAAGGGGACAAGGGTCAAAGTATTCATCATTACCATAAAAGGCAGACAGGGCGTGACATTTCATAGCAGGGACACACACAGGGCACACCCGTACCCCTTACTCACCAAGCCCTAACAATTACATCACCATGGGAGATGTAATTGTTCCAGTCCTCTTACTAATAGGCATCATCAGCCAGGCAGGTGAGGGGTCCCTAACTCATGAGCTTCCCTTCTTCAATCTGGAAGACAACCCCAAACTCACTCCTTTATTCGCATGGATAGGATGTTACATTTGCCAACATTCTATCATCACATGCTAGAAAGGCTGATAGGACAGAACATAGTAAGAAACAACACAGGAAGAGGCTCAGGGTAACCCACGGAGTTCACGTCAATTGCCCTAAAACAGGAGAGAAATATTCTAGATTACTATGAAGCTGGGAGCCAGTGGCTCACACCTGTCATCCTAACTACTCAGGAGGCTGAGATCTGAGGATCGAGGTTCAAAGCCAGCCCCAACTTTGAACTTTATGTCCAATTAACCACCAGAAAACTGGAAGTGTCCCTACAGCCAACCAAAAAGAAAAAAAAAGGCCACAGCATAATCAAGCAGTACAATACCAGAACCAAACCACCTTCCTCAGTGGACTGGCTAGGCCCCAGGACCTGGCCTAAAGCATCTCCCTTCCTTCCACATGGAAGCCAGTAGCATTGCTTGGCACCCACAGCCTGCCTAGCATGCAAACATGAAGTCTGAGTGTGGGCGCAGCCATCCTCCAGGCGTGGGTCTACCTACCAGGCCCCACACACACACACAGGCCCCGCCCACTCACACAGGCCCCGCCCACTCACACAGGCACCACCCTCCAGGACCTACCCACCCCTCGAATGCCTGATAGCCCCGCCTCCCCCATGTTCCTGCCCCAGGGAAAGAGACCATCCTTGAATAACTAACTGCATACTGGCAGAGTCGAACCCTCATTCCACCCAAATCTTATCAAAAACAAGGGAGCTGGGCACTGGTGGCTCACGCCTGTAATCCTAGCCACTCAGGAAGCTGAGATCTGAGGATCACGGTTCAAAGCCATCCCGGGCAGGAGAGACCGTGAGACTCCTATCTCCAATAACCATCAGAAAACCGGAAGTGGCGCTGTAGCTCAAGCGGTAGAGCGCTCACCTTGAGCTGAAGAGCTGAGGGACAGCGCCCAGGCCCAGAGTTCAAGCCCCACGACCGACCAAAAAAAAAAGTGAAAAAGTCCCATCGGCGGTTACCATTACACAAAGCTGGAGTGAGCAGCCCCGGTGGCAGAGACCTCTGGAGGGTCCCGCACCACACCCAAAGGGCTTCTTGTGTCGCTGCCCCTCCCTCTTACTCGTCACTCTGTGTCTGAGTCCTAAGATCCCGTCACCTTCCGCATCGTGAACCGCCTCGACAGCTTCATGACAGGCTCAAGAGCCAGAGTCTCCCCCTCGTTGAGCTCCCCCGCCCCCCAGGCCCTCTGGAAGCTTCTGCCCAGCGCCTGGCTCCCCAGCATGGACCCAGCCCAGCTGCTGACAGCGTCTGTCTGATCTGACCCCTCGCCTCACTCACAAGCAGAGCCAGCTCCCGTTCCCCACGCAGCCACAGCACCTGAGCCACGGTGTCATCGACAACGGGTTAGTCTCCACTCAGAGGGGGAAGGACAGGTGGGAAACGCCCCGGGGCGGGACGCGAGCGTGGGCAGTGGCTAACTAGGGGACCCTCAAAAGGCCCCGGGACCTGGGGCCAGGCTGGGACACGGAGCCGACACAGCACGGTCACCAGGTCCCGGGCCTGCCACCCACCTGGTCCTCCGGCACCTCCACCTTCACCTCGGGGTCCTCTCTGACGTCCAGCGCCCCTTGGGTATCCTCGGTAGGCGTCTGTGCTTTATACACATCTCCCTCTGCGGGGAAAAAGAACACAGAGAGGCTTTTCCAGTCAGAGTTACAGAGTCGGCGTGCCCGGCTCCCTGTGCCTGGCCGGAAGCCTGACCCGGCTCCGGGCCTCTCGCTACTCCCTCTCCGCCTCCCCCTGCCTCTGCTCTGCACCGTCAGCAGCCTCGGGGTCCGCAGCACCCGCCTAAGGTCCACCTCCACGAGGATGCCAAGTCCCCGTCTCCTGACCTCAGGGACCCCCAAACTGCTCAGAGCTGCCCGGAACAACGGGGTCTCTCTTGCCACCTCCTGCCCTCTGAGATGGACATGATGTGTCCACCGCACACACATGCCAGAGAAGGGCGTGTCTCAGCGCCCAGCGAGAGCAGGGGAACTGAGCAGCCGCAGAACGAGCAGAACGAGCATGGGGGGGTGGATACTTCAACGTACTCCACTATAAGCCAGCGTCAATCTCTCTCACCCAGAAGGAACGCAGACGGCCCTGGGGTTTCCCCCAGGAGGCGGGCGGGCCTCCTGCGCTCTGTGTCACCGGAGAGTACACAGAGCCCAGTGAGCCACAAACTGTGGAACTGACTTTAAATACTGCATTTGAAGGCTTCCTTCCTGGAGAATTCTATCCCCTTCAGCTTTGGAACTTTGCTTTCCTGCTCTGTTTACCCTACATACTGAATTTTCTGTGTGTGTGAAAATACTGTACAGAGGGGTTACAATTACATGGGCAAAATAATGAGTACATTTCTTATCAAGCATTGTAGCCTCCTCCTTGGTTTCCCCTTCCCATCCCTTCCCATCCTCCCCCCGCCCCCCCCCCACCCAATCCTCCCCGCCGCCCCCACCAAAGTTGTAAAGTTCGTTTTCAACATAACGACTTGTACATCTCATTGTGGCAATGGGTCCACCTGTATCCCTATTTAAATGATTTGTTTTTCCCCTTCCCCTCCACAAATTATAACAACATCAAATACAGTGAAAGCAGTGGTTATACTGTGGGGGAGGGACATACAAAGCAACAAAGAAATAATCTTATAAATGTGTTAGAAACAATTGCATGAAAGAAAAAAAAACATTTGAATACATATCTTAATAAATATAGCCACAAGAGCTAGGTGCCGGTGGCTCACACCTGTCATCCTAGCTACTCAGGAGGCTAAGGTCTGAAGATCATGGTTCAAAGCCAGCCCAGGCAGGAAAGTCTGTGAGACTCTTATCTCCAATTAACCACCAGAAAACCAGAAGTGGCACTGTGGCTCAAGTAGTAGAGTGCTCACCTTGAGCTGAGGAGCTCAGGGAAGCCTCCAAGCCCAGAGTTCAAGCCCCATGATTGACAAAAAAAAATTGTGTGTGGGTGTGTATATATAGATAGATAGATAGATAGATACATATGTATATAGTCATAAGAAAAAAATTGTAGCATAAATATGGCCTGAGGCCCACACAGGCACAAGTGGAGGAAGAGAGGAGGAGAGCAGGAGAGGAGGAAAGGAAGAGAGGAGGACAGAAGAGGAGGAGAAGAGAAGAGGAGAAGAAGAGAAAAGGAGAGGAGGAGAAGAGAAGAGGAGGAGGGCAGGAGAGGAGGAAAGAAAGAGAGGAGGACAGAAGAGGAGAAGAAGAGGAGAAGAGGAGGAGAGGAGAAAAGAAGAGGAGGAGAAGAGGAGAGGAGGAGAGCAGGAGAGGAGGAGAGGAGGAGAGGAAGAGAGGAGGACAGAAGAGGAGGAGAAGAGAAGAGGAGGAGAGGAGGAAGAGAGGAGAGGAGGAGAAGAGAAGAGGAAGAGGGCAGAAAGAACAGGAAGGGCTGGGAGCAGTTAGCGTTGCCAACAGCAGAATGAAATTCCACCTTACCCGCACCAGTTTCCTCTAAAGGTTCTGCCAGTGATTTCTTCTTCTTGTCTTCTTTGGCGTAGTAAACAGACTCCTGTGTTTTAGGTAGAGCTTTGTCACTTTGGGGGAGCTCTTTTTCTTTGGCGTCCACCTAAGGTACACATGAAGAACAAAAAGTATCTTGGGAGCAGCACGGCACTGCGCCTGCGTCCCTCGGTGTGGGACAGTGGCTTCGGAGCGGACAGCGGCAGGAGTCCAGGCATCCAGAAAGCCCAGGCAGTGGGTGTCCTCTCCGCTCCCCCCACCCCACCTCCGTGCCTTTCCCTTCCCAGAGGTGAGGCGGTTCCTCCCCTCCCCCCGCCGCCTCTCCCAGCTCCTCTGGGGGCAGACCCCGCCCCAGCGGCGGTGGTGCTGTGACCACCAACAGCACTTGGGGGGCTCAGGAAGCCCATGAGCAGGTTTGGGGGCCCCTGCAGACACGCTGTGGGGCCTCAGAAAATCTATTGTTCAACCACCACCATCCATGCTGCGTTCTCTGGGCATGGGGCGGGTTTCTGAGCAAAGTCCACCACACAGCAGCAGCTTCCAGGATCCGTGAAGGGAAATTCAAATGTTAACAATCTGTGGACAATCACACCAACGCACAAGGAGAGGTGAGATGGTTCTCAGCACCCCCACAAGTGTGTCCTCCTCCCTGCCTTGGTTCTATGAATTGCCTTATCTTCGTCTTTCTCTTGTTTATAATCTTTACTCAGGACTTGGAGGGAATCCAAGACAGAAGGACATACACAGGTACTTCTCTCAAGTTTCCATATGAAAACACCTGCCCTGCTCCATGGCTGCATTACCTGTGGTCAGACTCCCGGGCTTTTCCCTGCTGAGGATTAAAGAGTTAAATTAGGCCTTCAACCTCCTACAAAATGCCTCTATTTGAAGGCATTTCAGCAGGCCCGCTGAAATCATGTTGGCACTACAGGAAAAGAGAAGCAATGAGGTGTCACTGGTGCTTGTGGTGTGGGAGGAGCTGAGGCTACTTTATTCTTCCCAGCGTGTGTCTGGACTCCATGACGAGGGTCCACACGCGGGACCTCTGAGACAATCCTCCCAGGACCAGGAGAGAGTCCTGAACTCCCCTGACATGCCGGGACGAGGGCAGCTACAACACCAAGCGAACAGCGCAGAGCAAGCCAGGCCTGCCGCGCCTGGCACTGGCCCCAGCCCAGGCACGCAACGAGAGAAATGTGGGATGCCTGACGCACCGGAGAGCCACAAGCCAGAGCGAGCAGCGTGCCAGGAGAGGACGGCTGACCACCCGTGCAAGGCCATGGTGGAACCACGTCTTCACAAACACCTTATTTCTGTGGTGCCTGACCCGGCACTGCTGTCGCCCGGCACCACGTGGCACAGCACCGCCGTGGCCCGGCACCACGTGGCACAGACGTGGCTTCTTGCTAAGTCAGAGCTCACACACCTCCTCCTTGGTGTGTGGGCCTGGATCAACCTACAGGAGCTCAGGGGAGCGCGGGGGAGCTCAGAGGAGCACCAAGAGGTGAGGGGAGCGCGGGGAGCTCAGGGGAGCACCGGGAGGTCAGGGGAGTGCGGGGAGCTCAGGGGAGCACCGGGAGGTCAGGGGAGTGCGGGGAGCTCAGGGTGGCTCTGGGAGCTCAGGGGAGCACCAGGAGGGAGGTCAGGGGAGCAGGAGGTCAGGGGAGCACCGGGAGGTCAGGGGAGCGCGGGGAGCTCAGGGTGGCTCCGAGAGGTCAGGTGGCCTCAGAGGGAGCCCAGGGGCTGGAGTGGCATCTCCAGGGCTCCACAGAGAAACCACACTCCCAGCCCTCAGCAGGCAGTGGAAGGAAGACTACATGCATGGAGCAGGGAAACTCGGGGTGCGGATGGCTGTGGCTAAGCCTTGGGAAACCCAGACATGGGTGTGAATAGAAGGCTGAGATGCAGCCAGGATCCAGACTCCATGCAGAGCTAGTATGCAGGGATCTAGTGTGCAGGGGAGCTACTGTGCAGGGGAGCTAGCGTGCAGGGGAGCTAGCGTGCAGGGAGCTAGCGTGCAGCTGAGCTAGCGTGCAGGGGAGCTAGCGTGCAGGGAACTAGCGTGCAGGGGATCTAGCGTGCAGGGGAGCTAGCGTGCAGGGGAGCTAGCGTGCAGGGGAGCTAGCGTGCAGGGGAGCTAGCGTGCAGGGGAGCTAGCGTGCAGGGGAGCTAATGTGAAGGGGAGCTAGTGTGCAGGGGAGCTAGTGTGCAGCTGAGCTAGAATGCAGGGGATCTAGCGTGCAGGGGAGCTAGCGTGCAGGGGAGCTAGCGTGCAGGGGAGCTAGCGTGCAGGGGAGCTAGCGTGCAGGGGAGCTAGCGTGCAGGGGAGCTAGCGTGCAGGGGATCTAGCGTGCAGGGGAGATAGCGTGCAGGGGAGCTAGCGTGCAGGGAGCTAGTGTGCAGCTGAGCTAGTGTGCAGCTGAGCTAGAGTGCAGGGGAGACAGCGTGCAGGGGAGCTAGCGTGCAGGGGAGCTAGCGTGCAGGGGAGCTAGCGTGCAGGGGAGCTAGCGTGCAGGGGAGCTAGCGTGCAGGGGAGCTAGTGTGCAGGGGAGCTAGTGTGCAGGGAGCTAGTGTGCAGCTGAGCTAGTGTGCAGGGGAGCTAGCGTGCAGGGGATCTAGCGTTCAGGGGAGCTAGCGTGCAGGGGATCTAGCGTGCAGGGGATCTAGCGTGCAGGGGATCTAGCGCTCAGGGGAGCTAGCGTGCAGGGGAGCTAGCGTGCAGGGGAGCTAGCGTGCAGGGGAGCTAGCGTGCAGGGGAGCTAGCGTGCAGGGGAGCTAGCGTGCAGGGGAGCTAGCGTGCAGGGGAGCTAGCGTGCAGGGGAGCTAGCGTGCAGGGGAGCTAGTGTGCAGGGAGCTAGTGTGCAGCTGAGCTAGTGTGCAGGGGAGCTAGTGTGCAGGGAACTAGAGTGCAGGGGATCTAGCATGCAGGGGAGCTAGCGTGCAGGGGAGCTAGCGTGCAGGGGAGCTAGCGTGCAGGGGAGCTAGCGTGCAGGGGAGCTAATGTGAAGGGGAGCTAGTGTGCAGGGGAGCTAGTGTGCAGCTGAGCCTGAATGCAGGGGATCTAGCATGCAGGGGAGCTAGCGTGCAGGGGAGCTAGCGTGCAGGGGAGCTAGCGTGCAGGGGAGCTAGCGTGCAGGGGATCTAGCGTGCAGGGGAGCTAGCGTGCAGGGGAGCTAGCGTGCAGGGGAGCTAGCATGTAGGGGAGATAGTGTACAGGGGAGCTAGCGTGCAGGGGAGCTAGTGTGAAGGGGAGCTAGTGTGCAGGGGAGCTAGCGTGCAGGGGATCTAGTGTGCAGCTGAGCTAGAGTGCAGGGGATCTAGCATGCAGGGGAGATAGCGTGCAGGGGAGCTAGCGTGCAGGGGAGCTAGCGTGCAGGGGAGCTAGTGTGCAGCTGAGCTAGAGTGCAGGGGATCTAGCGTGCAGGGGAGATAGTGTGCAGGGGAGCTAGTGTGCAGCTGAGCTAGAATGCAGGGGATCTAGCATGCAGGGGAGCTAGTGTGAAGGGGAGCTAGTGTGCAGGGGAGCTAGTGTGCAGCTGAGCTAGAGTGCAGGGGATATAGCATGCAGGGGAGCTAGCGTGCAGGGGAGCTAGCGTGCAGGGGATCTAGCGTGCAGGGGAGCTAGCGTGCAGGGGAGCTAGCGTGCAGGGGATCTAGCATGTAGGGGAGATAGTGTGCAGGGGAGCTAGCGTGCAGGGGAGCTAGAATGCAGGGGATCTAGCATGCAGGGGAGCTAGCGTGCAGGGGAGCTAGCGTGCAGGGGAGCTAGTGTGAAGGGGAGCTAGTGTGCAGGGGAGCTAGTGTGCAGCTGAGCTAGAGTGCAGGGGATCTAGCGTGCAGGGGAGCTAGCGTGCAGGGGAGCTAGCGTGCAGGGGAGCTAGCGTGCAGGGGAGCTAGCGTGCAGGGGATCTAGCATGTAGGGGAGATAGCGTGCAGGGGAGCTAGCGTGCAGGGGATCTAGCGTGCAGGGGAGCTAGCGTGCAGGGGAGCTAGCGTGCAGGGGATCTAGCATGTAGGGGAGATAGCGTGCAGGGGAGCTAGCGTGCAGGGGAGCTAGAATGCAGGGGATCTAGCATGCAGGGGAGCTAGCGTGCAAGGGAGCTAGCGTGCAGGGGAGCTAGCGTGAAGGGGAGCTAGCGTGCAGGGGAGCTAGTGTGCAGCTGAGCTAGAGTGCAGGGGAGATAGCGTGCAGGGGAGCTAGCGTGCAGGGGAGCTAGCGTGCAGGGGAGCTAGCGTGCATGGGATCTAGCGTGCAGAGGATCTAGCGTGCAGGGGATCTAGCGTGCAGGGGAGCTAGTGTGCAGGGGAGCTAGCGTGCAGGGGAGCTAGCGTGCAGGGGAGCTAGCGTGCAGGGGAGCTAGCGTGCAGGGGAGCTAGCGTGCAGGGGAGCTAGCGTGCAGGGGAGCTAGCGTACAGGGGAGCTAGCGTGCAGGGGATCTAGCGTGCAGGGGAGCTAGCGTGCAGGGGAGCTAGCGTGCAGGGGAGCTAGCGTGCAGGGAGCTAGTGTGCAGCTGAGCTAGTGTGCAGGGGAGCTAGTGTGCAGGGAACTAGCGTGCAGGGGATCTAGCGTGCAGGGGATCTAGCATTCAGGGGAGCTAGCGTGCAGGGGAGCTAGCGTGCAGGGGAGCTAGCATGCAGGGGAGCTAGCGTGCAGGGGATCTAGCGTGCAGGGGATCTAGCGTTCAGGGGATCTAGGGTGCAGGGGAGCTAGCATGCAGGGGATCTAGTGTGCAAAGGATCTAGCGTGCAGGGGATCTAGTGTGCAGGGAATCTAGCGTTCAGGGGAGCTAGCGTGCAGGGGATCTAGCGTGCAGGGGACCTAGCGTTTAGGGGAGCTAGCGTGCAGGAGAGCTAGTGTGCAGGGGATCTAGTGTGCAGGGGATCTAGTGTGCAGGGGAACTAGTGTGCAGCTGAGCTAGTGTGCAGGGGAGCCAGTGTGTAGCTGAGCTAGTGTGCAGGGGATCTAGTTTGCAAGGGATCTAGTGTGCAGGGAGCTAGTGTGCAGGGGAGCTAGTGTGCAGGGGAGCTAGTGTGCAGAGGAGCAAATGTACAGGGGAGCTAGCGTGCAGGGGAGCTAGCGTGCAGGGGAGCTAGTGTGCAGGGGAG